AAAATAAAAGTTGTAGTTTTTTATTCATGCTGAATAATTCTGTAGTAACAAGTCTGTAGTTTTCACCTACTCAGTGAAATGTTGGACTGTAAAAGCTTGTGTGGAATTGTTGAACATTTATTTTTTCATTTAAATTTGCTGTTCTGGTAATACAAAGCCACACATCTGTACAGAAGTTGCAGTAAATGTGAGCCATTTACAGCAATGCCGAATAATGGACAGAAACCATATAATAAAATTCTGCTTTTTTCATTAAATGGCTCCAAAATGCTTTTGTGGAGTTTTTGTTGTGGTCTTGGAGAGGGTTGGGTCTGACATGGCAGGAGAGGAGCTCTATGAGCTTATGGTCCCTTCCAATCTCAATCCCTCTTTAATTCTGTGATTTTAAATGTGTTTTGTCACTGCAGTGGTTCCCAACTGTCTGATACTCATCAGGATGTGATAAAAGCTCCCTCCAAGGCAGGTGCCAGCTGCCAAACATTAGTGATAGAAATAAAATGCACTGAAAAGCCTCAAGTGTGGGCTGGGGATGGGTGTAGGGGGCTGAGCTGCCCTGGCGTCCTGTGCAGAGACAGAACTGAACCGAGGAAAAAGGGAAGAGGCCTTGGTAAATCAGCAGGGCTGAGAGGAGCCTCTCTGGCTGGGAAGATGCTGCCCTCGGGTTCAGGAGGTCTCAGCCCTGGAGCAGAAGATGCTGCCCTGGAGCTCCTTCCCTGCCCCGTTGGAGTTTCCGACGTTTCCAGCCCCTCAAACCGCCGCGGTTTTCCCCCAGCACAGCTCAGCCTTCCCCCCGAGCCACAGAGCCAGGCCTGCTGTAATAAAATCTCATTTAACTGCAGCAGAAAAGGCCGAGTTCCCAGCAGGGAACGATTTCTTTGAATTGTTTGCAATTAAAACAAAGCTTACATAAATTTCCCTTCGGTAATTCCCGAGCTGGATGGCTGCGGATGGGGGTCAGAGGCAAGGCAAGGATGGGATTTACCATAACTATGTTTATTTGGGCCACACTTATGGAAAGATGCTTAAAGGAGAGCCATCAGACACTCAGATAAAGAACTGCTCAGTGCCTGATGGGCTCCAGCCTCATGGTGAGTGCACCAAGTCCTCAGTGTGGTCACATTCCGCCCGAAATCCCCTTTGTCCCATTCCATTTACAAAAGCATTGATAGCAGAAGCATCTGTGGGATTTCTGCCCCTTCCCTGTGCACCCTCCCGTGCTCCGTGGCCCTGGGGTGGGTTGGGATGGGGCTGCTGCCCTCCCTCACCTGCCACCTTGTTCTGCTGTTCTTTGCTGTCTTGGGCTCCATCCTCAGCTTCCAAGAAATTCGGGTGAAGCCCAGCATGCAATTGCAATTCATGGTTTCTGCTGTGTTCACATTATCCCAGTAAAATGATGGCATTTCAGACTGGTTAGGAGAAGATGCCATTAAACGCCATTTTTACAGCTCTGACATTTAAGATTTGAGCTTTGGAGTTGGTGTTTGCCCCCAGGATGGTCCCCACGGGGCTGGTTTGTCCCTGGCTGTGCCCCCTCTACAGCCTGAGCTCGTGTTGAGCTCTGGGCACACGGAGCTGGTCCGTGTCAGGCACAAATTCTGGAGTTTTACACAATAAAAGACTCCTTGGCTGCATGGTACTGCTTATCCCAAAGGGGCTCCCAGATGTTCTCAGTGCTCTTGCCAAGCTCCTGCCAGGGTCCAGCAGGTTTGGTGCATTTCCTCACCAGGTTACTGACAACTTCAATTATTGGTGAACCTGGAAATATACTGTATATTATACATAGTACATTGACATTTCAAAATAAAGAAGTGTAAGTGTTGAACTTGTCAAAGTCTGGCTGGAGGAGCAGCACAGAGAGGAACCATCAGAAGGGAGTGCACTGATGTCCGGTGCCTGAGCCCATGAGTCAGCTGATAAAATCCAACCTGGAGGAGGGGGGCGGCAGTAAATAGCCTTATCTAGTCCATCACAGGCCTGGCACTGCCCCAGAGCATAATGAAGGATATTCCCTGAGGTCACAACAGGGAGCCTTAGGTTAAAAAAATAACAAGTGGAATACTTCTAATGAAGGGATCTGTTGATTTGAGATCAAACCACATTAAAATACTGGGACAAAACTGCTGAGGCAGCATCAGATGTGGGCACTAATTGTGCTCCTGATGCAGGAGATGGGGTGACACTTCCTGCTGAGGAAGGTGACCTGATGTGCCCAGGGGGATGTGTCCCCAGGGAGCAGAGCATGGAGGGGAAATTATCTGCAGGGGCTGGACACGGGGAGCTGCATCCCTGAGGAGCTGAGAGGGGACACAGGGGGGGACACGGGTCAGGGGGGTTGTTCTGCCATCCTGTCACCCTGGGCTCCTGCCCTGGCCCCAGCCCATGCCTATCTGGGCTCCTGCAACAACAAATCCAGAATTAAAACCCAGCATTTTTAATTCCTCATTTCTCTCCTAGCCTTTTCCTTTTTACCCTTTTTGGCTCGCAGGCAGAGTTCCTGCAGCTGGCTGCAGCCAAGCTGCACGTGTTCCTACCCCAAACAAACACAGCGCTGGCCTGCCAGCCCCAAACACAGCAATTACTAAAAATAATTTCTAAACATCCACCCAGCCCAGCCCAAGCCCTGGCGAGTCCAAGGGAAGCCTTGGAGGGATGTGGCTGTCACAGCCTCCCCGGGGCAAGGATGGGTTGGGGGTCCCTGCTGGGGTTCTGGGGGCTCCTGCTGCCCCTCAGCCACTGCTCCCTGCTGGCTTTGCTGAGCAGAATGGGGCTGAAACAGCTCAAAGCTCTCGGGCTAAATATATCCCCGTTGCTGGGGAAATAAATAATAAACACAGTGTGATGGGGATGTCGTTGGTTCTGCTGGGGCTGGGGCTGCAGCGCTCCGGGTACCACACAGGGCAACAAAACTCAACAAAAACTGGGCAAAACCAACAACAACAGTGGCTGAACAAATTACCCAGCCAAACTCAAACTTGGCAAAAAATAACCAGCAGTAAAACAGAGGCAAAAGCAGCATGTGCATCTCCCAGACTCAGAAATATTAATGATAACGGCTGCAGCAAAATTAATGAGCTTTAAAAAGGAACAAAGCATCTCCAGGACCTGTGGGAGTGGGAGAGGGAGGGCAGCTGGGCACGGGGCAGATGGGGCTGCCCCATCCCTGTCCTCATCCATGGGGCCAGCACAGGTGGCACTGTCCCAGCCCAGTGTCACTGAGGTGACACTGCAGTGCCACGGGCAGGGCTGGGGCTAGCTGAGGCACCCAGGGCAGAACTTGTTTGCTCCAGAGCTGGGGCAGCCTTGGGAAGAACTCCCTGCTGGCTGCCAGGACAGCAGGGACACGGTGCCATGGGCTGGAAATGAGCACTCCCCTCTGTGTGACCATGAGAGGGGCACAGGACAAGGGATGGAGGGACAGGACACAGGGAATGGCTCCCAGTGCAGAGGGCAGGCATGGATGGGATATTGGGAATTAGGAATTGTTCATGGTGGGCAGGCCCTGGCACAGGTGCCCAGAGCAGCTGTGGCTGCCCCTGGATCCCTGGCAGTGCCCAAGGCCAGGCTGGACAGGGCAGTGGGAGGTGTTCCTGCCATGGCAGGGGTGGCACTGGGTGGGCTTTGAGCCCTTTCCAGCCCCCTGTGCCAGGGAGATGCTCGCCCCAGTGGAACCTTCACTGCCAGCCACGTTCCAGCTCTCCTGGGGCTCATCCCCGGAGCTCTCCCATCCCCTGGCCCTCCTGCCCTGCTCTTCACCCACAGCTGGCTGTGAGCAAGAGCTCTGAGCACTCTGCAGATATTTAATTATCTGCTTGCTGGGGTAAGCTGGTCCTGGGGCAGGGCAGGCCTGGGGAGCAGCTGATGGGGGCTGTGGGGGCTCCCAGAGGGATGGCAGGGACAGCAGGGACACAGAAATCTCCTGTGGAGATGGGATTGCTCCAGCTCCAGACCCTGCTCTGCCATCCCCTCCTAATCCAAGCCGGGCTGGTCTCCGGGGCACCCGGCCCCTGCAGACTTCTTCCCTTCCTGCCTGCGTCAGTGAGTTTAGAGCCCAGGTGTGATTTTCTAGACCCTTTTGTCTGAGCTTTAGAAGCAGAATAAGCTTCATTAGCAAAGGGAGGATTTACAATAAGTAATAGGTAGGTGCTACCTTGTGAGCTGTCAGCCTCGTGCTAAATTACCTGCAAACAATCAGCTCCTCACCCAGAGAACAGAGCTTTAAACGGCCATTTCTCTAAAAACCTCTGCTTTTAATCGTTATTTTCCAAAAGCTAAAAATCTGAATTAGCCCAAATATACAAACTGTAATTGCTTTGAGGTTTCTGGTTTGGAGTATTAAACCAGCACACACTCACTAACATGTCTCTCCACTCTTGGGCTCTGGCTCTGTGCAGGTGATTTCCCCTTCATCTGCCCCAGATCCATCCCTGTGCTCTGCTGGTGCCCATGAACCAGGGCTGTGCCCTCTTCTCCAGAAAACCAGGGACAGGACAAGAGGAGATGGCCTCGAGCATCCCCAACCCCAGTCCAACTGCAAACCAAACCCAACCCAACTCAACCACAACCCAACATCAAACCCAGCCCAAATAATCCAACAACCCAACCCACTCCCTGCCCAAACCCAGCCCACCCCAATTAATCCAACTGCCCCCAAACCCAGCCCAAACTCACGGTGTGTTTGTAGAACATCAGCCATCGATGTGAAACATGGCAGGGCTGCACCAAGAGACTCTTCTGATGCCAGCTCCAACAGCCACCATTGCACCTTCTCTTTTTTTTGTGACTGACCAGAGGCCACGAGATAGTCTCTGCCATTCAGCAGTGTCACCACCCAGCTTTCGTTTCATTTTGACTGATTTCTTTAATAGTAACCATCAAATGCTGTGTCAGGCTGGTTTAAAAAAAATATTTCCTACCTTTAATTTCTCTTGGAATAAACCAATGTTTACTACAGTGTCAAATCTGGCCCAAAATGGGAACATTTAGTAAGCGTTCCAGACAAGTTTTTCTTGTTGGAAAATTTTAATTAAAAAAAAATATTCCACTGGCTCTCCTGTAAGAGCAATAACGTCTGCCTCGGTTTGATTTCCTTTCCTCCAGGAGACATCTCGTAAATACATGTGTGTGGGACTTTTGTTCCCAGAAACCCTCTAGGTAGCACATCCAAGAGCTCCCAAGTGCCTCTGAAAAGGAATTTACTGTGGTCTCAGAGTAACTGGAGTATCCAAGGAGCCAGAGGGGGACCCTGCACGGAGAGGTTTTGTGGGGACACGGCGGGAGCAGCGTGGTGCAGCGCTCACACAGCATTGCTAAGCAGCTCCCAAACACACCTGCCCAAATAATGCCCTTTGGAGGGCTCTTGGCAGGTTTGCAATCCCCATTCATCCCCAGCCCTGCTCCAGCAGCATCCCGGCAAGGCAGGAGGGAGCTCGGCACAGGACAGTTCCAAGCACGCACAAACAGTGCTGACAGGTGAAGGATGGAGGGTTTTTAGAATCCTTTCCATCAGCCCTCCCCATCCCCTCCCAGCCCCAGGGAGGGGCTCTCACACCCACCCCAGGCACCCCCAGGTCCCAGCCACAGCCACAGAGCGATGCTGGGGCTGGATAAAGCCTGGCCTCAGCCTTAGCCAAGGCTGGATACAGCCCAGCCCCATCTGATGCCAGGGCTGGATAAAGCCTGGCCTCGTCCTTGGCCTCAGGAAAGCCAAGAAATAGCACAAAAGTTGGCTATAAAATGCAAGGATGGAGATGAACCAGCAACGTGCTAGGGAAACACCGGATTTTATCCCTACAAGCCCCTGGCCCTCTTCATCCAACACCTGAGAGCAGAGACCACGAGGCAGTTTGGGGACCTCACCCCTGCCCAAGCCATACCAGCCACCTGAGAGTGCTCCCCAAGGGGTCAGAGGGATATGGAGAGGGGTTGATCCCATGGGAATGAGCTGTGCCACCCACCCTGGAAAGCAGGAAAAAAATTATTGCCTTTTTCCTCTTTTTTTCCCCAAGACAAAAGCCCAGGAAGTTTAATTACTGTGGACAAAATATGAAGAAGGCTGAAAGTTCAGCAGCCTTCTCTCTAAGTGACACCAGGGAGGGAAGGAAGCAGCAGCTCCAGGCTGGGGGTCGGGGGCTTTGGAGCCTCTTGGTGACCAGCCTCAAATGTCCTCTGCTTCTCTCCTTACAGCTCTTCTAAAAATATCAAATATAGATCTTTTCCTCATAATATTTTAAGATACTCTATTTATACATTAATCCTTTCAAAAATAAAAAGTGACACATAGAGCAATTCAGTCACTCAGAGTCTTTAAAACTGTTACAAAAGCCACGACATCCATCCCCAGCGCCACGGCCTGGGGGCTGACACTTTCTTTATATAAAATATGATTCCAGCTCTCAAAATCCCGGCTCTGCAGCCAAACAGGGCTCCTTGTCCCACCCTCCCCCTTCAGCACAACCTGGAACGATGAGGGGTTTGCACTCCACCCTGCCCAGCCCTCGTGGCGTGTCCATGGAGGCAGGAGCTGGGCTGGGGCAGCCGAAGGCTCCTCCTGGCTCTGCACAGCCCCACCTTGGCCACTCCAACAGCAAGGATGGCAATAATTCACCTGGCACAACCAGCACTGCACAGACTTGGCACACACGAGGCTGCAAGCAAGGGGAGGGCTGGAAAACGAGGCTGGAGAGAGGCAGAGGCAGCTCCAGCAGGGCCTGGGCGCAGGTGGGAGCACAGAGGGGTCTGTACAGTGGGATTTGGGAAGGGCAGGTACCAAACAGCCAAACAACAGGAGTGGGGTTGGTCTGGGACTGCAGCAGGAGGGCAGCACGGGCTGCTCACCTCACACAGTCTGAGGGCTACCCCACAGAATCAAAATCCTGGAAATATAAAAGAAGACTTTGAGAGGTTTGGTCCAAAGCATCCTCCTTGCAGCGAGCAGGTGCCAGCTGAGCCCTGCCAGCCCTGGGCCCTGCAGAGCCCACCCGGGGCTCGCTCTTGCCAGCAAGAGCCACCAGCACTGTGGTGGCACAAGGAGGGGACACCTGCCAGGGCTGCCTGGCCACCACGGGGGCTCAGCCCCCCTGCCCTTCCCCTGCCAGCACCGAGAGCTGTGCCTGGGGCTCCAGGGAAGCACAGGGAGCACAGGACTCCTCCTTGGTGGGACCCTGCAGGGTGCAGCCAGAGAATGTCCCCCTGCAGGAAACCCCCCTGGGGCAGCTCCGGCCATTCCCAGTCTCCAGCTCGGCCCCTCGGGGCACTTGGCTGTCCCTGGGCTGGTTCTCCATCGCTGGGATGTGCACTGGAGTCTCTCCATGTCCCCAGGAGCGCTGCAGGACGAGAGGCGACGTCTGACGCACACAAACATCCACAGCGGGCACAGGGCTGTCCCCACCCCGGTCACACGGGGGCACAGGGGCCTGCAGGACTGGCCATGGATACCATGGAATGCTCAGCAGCGGCTCTGTGCACCCCACAGTTATAGGAACTCCACGTAGTTCTCGGGGATCAGTCCTGTCTTGCCGTTGAGGGTCCCTTCCAGCCAGCCGGGCTCCTGGGATGGGTGAACTGCAGAGACAGGGGAAGGGCACGTCAGACCTTTCATCTGGGCTCATTTTTAAGGGAACTAACAGAGTTAAAGATCCTCTTCAAGTCCCTTCTGACCCAAACTATTCCATGGCTCTGTGAACACACCATGGGGCTCAGGTGCTCTGTCCCTGCCTGCTCCCCGTGGGACTCCTTGGCCTTTCCTTCACCAAGTGAGCTGCAGACTCCAAATACTCTTTGGGGCTGCTGGGCTGAGGCAAGTGAAGCATTTGGGCTCAAAACTTCCTCTTGATTTGAGCTAAGATCTCATGGAAGTTGGAGAGAACGTGGTTAGCTCCATCACAGGGTAACTGCACATCCCGCCTTGGCCTGGGCCCTGGCTGGGAGGGAAATTGCATTAGGGAACAATCCCAGGGGGAAATGAAACCCTGCAACCTGATTGCGCGCAACCAGAAACCTGATCAGTCCTCAAAAGCCTTTCCTTATTCAATCAACGCCCAAATATTTGCTGATTGTGCAGGAGGCAGGCCAGGGCTACGCCTGCAGGCAGAGGAACATCCCCCTCCCACAGCCACGGTGGGAAGCCTGTGCTCCAGAGCTCCTGGAGCTCCCTGGGCTGCGGTGACTCTGCAGCTCTGCCCTCACTCCCTCACTCGTGTCTGGGTCAGGGAACTGGAGCTCTCCAAGTGCCACTGTGCCCCGTGGGCGCTGCTCAGCCCCAAAGCCCAGCTGGGCCAAGCTGCTGCTCAGCCACGTGCAGCCCCACAGCAGCTCAAAGTGGAACCTGGCTCCAAGTATTGCCAAGACCCCTTTGCCTTCACTGGGGTTTGAAAAGGCCTTGATCACAGCAAGAGTCCCACCAAGCCAGGCTGGTTCTACCTCATGTCCCCCAGCCAACGTGAGCCCTGGCTGTGCTGCTGAGTGACTGGAACACGCTGTGTACTTTTTCCCTTGAATAATCCATTGATTTTTATCAGCAAACATAATGTATTTAATTCAAACTTGTTCCCCTCCTAGCCACTCTGATTCCCACGGGCCCTCAGAGGGGAGACCATGTTTATTTATAAGATGACTATGGAGCTGCTTCAGAGAAGGATTGTCTTTAATTCACATGTATTCATTCTCCTCCCTTTTCTGCTGTGTTCGCCTCTATATCCCTGGGCAAAAACAGTGCATGTGGTAGCAGCTTCCCAAATGACAATGCCTAACATTTGAAAGCCAAGAATGACTTGGAAAGCAGTAAAAAGTCTTCTCGTTACACTGGGATTATAACTAAGCCAGAGCTGCTCAGCTCCATGGGGCACAAACTCTTGGTGCAGGAAACACCAAGTCTGAGTTCATTAGCGTGGTCTGAGTGAGCAAAGCCCACCTGCTCCAGCGCTCATATCCTGAGGGAAAAAGCGCACGTGGCTTTCCCATCTCCTGCACAAAGCATTACAGCAGCTACCCCGAGTGTTTCTGGTGCTGATATCCAGAATCTCATCTCCCTTGCACAGAACAACTCTGGGAATGGCAAATGCTGGGGCAGGCACAGCTCACCAGGGTCTCCCTTGAGCTTAGAGGAGGGGTTGGGAGGCACAGGAGGGTTTGGAGGAGGCCAGGGGGTGTGCAGGGCCTGTGGGACAGGTTGGGAGCAGGGCTGGCAATGGCACAGGCTGGGAGCAGGGCTGGCCATGGCCTGAGGGGCCCAGAGGGTGTGCAGGGCCTGTGGTACAGGCTGGGAGCAGAGCTAGCCCTGGCCTGAGGGGCCCGGCACTCACCGTTGTCGAACACGGTGCCGGCCGTGAAGGAGAGCTCGGAGTCGTGCTCGGCTTTGCAGGCGTAGAGCGCGCGGGCCTTGCGCAGGGGGGAGCTGCAAGAGAGACACCAGAGTGGGCACAGGGCCCCCACACCCCTCACAGGGCTGGGCACATCACAGCCCTCACAGGGCCGGGCACATCACACCCCTCACAGGGCCGGGCACCCCACACCCCTCACAGGGCCGGGCACATCACACCCCTCACAGGGCCGGGCACCCCACACCCCTCACAGGGCTGGGCACATCACAGCCCTCACAGGGCTGGGCACATCACAGCCCTCACAGGGCCGGGCACATCACACCCCTCACAGGGCCGGGCACCCCACACCCCTCACAGGGCCGGGCACCCCACACCCCTCACAGGGCCGGGCACATCACACCCCTCACAGGGCCGGGCACCCCACACCCCTCACAGGGCTGGGCACATCACAGCTCTCACAGGGCCGGGCACCCCACACCCCTCACAGGGCCGGGCACCCCACACCCCTCACAGGGCTGGGCACCCCACACCCCTCACAGGGCCGGGCACACCACACCCCTCACAGGGCCGGGCACCCCACACCCCTCACAGGGCTGGGCACCCCACACCCCTCACAGGGCCGGGCACACCATGGCCCTCACAGGGCCGGGCACCCCACACCCTTCACAGGGCCGGGCACCCCACACCCCTCACAGGGCCGGGCACCCCACACCCTTCACAGGGCCGGGCACCCCACACCCCTCACAGGGCCGGGCACCCCACACCCCTCACAGGGCCGGGCACACCATGGCCCTCACAGGGCCGGGCACCCCACACCCTTCACAGGGCTGGGCACATCACACCCCTCACAGGGCCGGGCACCCCACAGCCCTCACAGGGCTCTGCCGCTCTGCCGGGGCTGCTGCTCTGCTGGGCTACCTTGTTGCCCAGGAGGGAGGGAGACACCAGCAGAGGCTGAAGGCTCTCGGGATGAGCCACGTTTCACCCCAGTGCAGATCCCAGTCTGAGCCCAGCTGGACTGGAGCCCACACTGGTGCCCAAACAGCACCAGCCCAAGCCAGGGGTCCCCTCGTCTCCTCCAGGCTGGAGCCGGAATGTTCTGTATCTGAGGGGCCATCACTGGCCAGAGGTTGGCACAGAGCAAAGGTGGCAGCAGGTGCTGGCACTGACCCATTGCCCCTGGCCCCGCTCTGCCAAACCCATCCAAGTGCAGCTGCAACCACAAGGACAATTTCACAAGGAAGAATTAGCGCTTGGGGAAGGTTATTTCAAAACAGAAAGACAAGCAGGTCCATGAAGAATTTGCTGCACTTCTTTAGAGCCTGTACCTGAAGGCAGAAGAGATTTAACAGCCATTAGATTTTGCTGGAAGTGTCAGCGTGCCCACGCTGCAGGGGAGGGAATTGGAGCAGCGAGAGCCAGGAATGGAGCAACTGCTGGCAGAGAGAGGAAAATGAGGGAGCTCAGGGCTCCCCAGGCACAGCACAGGCACACAGAGCTGTCCCTGCACCTGGAATCCCCACCCATCCTTCCCAGCTTTGGGCTGGAGCAGGGCTGGTGGAAAGCTGGGATACTGCCAGGCTGTGGTGACAGTGCCAGTGCCAGTGCCAGCCAGGCGCTGGTCATTCGAGCAGCCAGACACATTCAGCACTGCTGCTCAGCTGGGACATGGCCACGGGAAGGGATGAAGCACCCCAGAAGCTGCTGGGGTAAGGAACAAGGTGTCACCATTCTCAGATCAGTGATTTACCAGTTTTTATCTTTCCAAGGACTTGAAGTTCCTGAGTTCCTCGGATGAGCCCAGGGAAGCAGCAAGGCAAGATCAGCTCCCCTTCACACCAAACTCCCAGGAGCTGGGAGTGGCTTTGGCTTTGCTGCTAACAGAGCCCTGAAATGGAGATCTCTCTTCTCCAAATTCCAGCTGCCTGACACGAGCAGCTCCCAAACACTTAAAAACCAGGATGGGCAAACAATCCTCTCACTCCAGAGGGTCCTTCACTGCCAGGAGGCACCGCTCACACGGAGTGCTTGAGACCATCAAGTGGAAAACAAAAGGAATTTCCAGGCTCCCGGTGCACTCAGGGCACGGTGGCATCGCTGGTGCCAAGGGCACAGGACCCTGGGCAGTGCCAGCTGTGGTGCTACCCCACAGCACACTTCTTACCTGTTACAGAGCAGAGCAAAGCCAGCACAGCACTGAGCTGAGCTGGGCCCAGCAGTGAGACGGAGCACAGCTCCTGCTCCCCTCACCTGGGGGCTGCAGGCTCCAGCCTGGCTCAGGGCGCTCCGAGGGGCTCTCCTGGGAGGGTTTGAGGCTTTGAAAGCTCCCCTCTTGCTGAGTGCAGACAGTGCTTGGGAGGGATCGAGCAGGATGCCAAGGGAAAGGGAGGTGAAGTGGGGGAAACCAGGGAAATCCAACAGAAGCAGCAAAAGCAACAAGAAGCCAAGCGAATTGTGCAACAGACCTGATGGGGGATGAGTCGCTGGACGTAGAGGAGGTGGGCATAGGACTTGATGGCGCAGAGAACATGGGCCAGGACGGTGAGAGGGGTGACGTTGGGCTTGGATTCTGAGGGCTGCAAGACATAACCAGAGACCTTATCAACGTGCCAGCACAGCAACAAACAGCAACCGAGAGACACACAGACGGCAGCCGACGATAGCGAGTGCCTTGGGGATATTCTGAGCGTGAGACACAGCTACAGAATGAGGTGCCAAGACCTTGGGGAGTGTTTCAAGGCTGGGTCTGCATTCATCTGGACAACAAGAGCTGGATCTTCCAGTCAAACCCCGCTCCATTGCCCATCCGTGGCACCTGGCACCCCGTGTGCTGCAGCACGGCCACTTACCTGCCTGTGCTTCCCCCAGAGCTCCCAGAAAGAGCTGCTGGTATTTCTGGTCGTTAATGATGCCTGTGAGCAGCCTCCACCCCCTCTGTCTGTCACTTGTGGTGCTCACACATTCAGTGTATAAAAATGGCATTGATTTTGTTCTCCATGTTTTACATCCCTTTTTCCCCTCGTGCTGATTCCTGAAGCCACAGCTGTCAACTGGAGCTGAACCGAGTTACTGAACTGGTAATTGCACACAGAAGTTTTTGAGTCCTTCCAAACTGTTCAATTCAGGTCATTCTCAAGTTCACCAAAAAGCAATTATTGTACCAAAATACCAGCATGATTAATTTACTGCTTCTCTGCTTAGCACTCATTGGTATTCCCTATCCAATTCAGATTAGAAACTCCATCCCTGATAAAACACCAGAAATCTCTCTCCACACTGCAAGTGCCTCTGTAAAAACAAGAAGTTTTGTAAAAGCATCTTAACTTATGTTTTCTCCTTGAGAGAGGGACAGTACCTCTGATCACACAGGTCTGATGAGGTGGGGACAGGGCACAACCCCCAGAATTGTGTCCTTATCCCTCAGCTGGGGCCTCCTGGGGTAGAGGGAAGGGATTCAGGGGATGGTGGCTCCAGAACACGTGGAGAACCTCAGCCCTGCAGGAGCTCAGACCAAGGTTTAACCTTGCCCAGTGTCCTCTGGCTGCCACCACAGGGGGATATTTATGACATGGATGCTTTCCCCTTGGAAACTGGACCATCTCTGCTTAAGGCCAAACTCTTGGCTGGACTCCTTGCAGAAGCTGTGTCACTGGATTCAACAGACACTGATTAATTCCCTCTGAAATTACAGGCAACACCTTTATTATGTCAGAAGATTACACATATAGAGAAATGGATACAGCAGCGTGTGCAGCATGACTTCACCAGAGGCTGGAAAACATGGAATGCTGTCAGGCAGGCTATCAACGAGATCCTCCAAATGTTCTGCTAATAATCATCACTATTTAAAACAATCCTTCAGCATTCTATCATAAAAACTGTCCATCTTTTGAAAAATGAGCTTTCCTTGGTCTTTACCAAACCTGACAGCCATTGGTACTTACCAGATGCTCCATCTATCCCCACTCCCTAATGGGAGGTGCTACCAAGGTCACAAATCATCCTAAACTGCCAAAATTAACCCTTTAAACACCACTTCTTTCAAAGAGATGGTCTAGCAATTCCCTTCTCCAAGAGGAGCCTGGCCAAGGTGGAACTTGGAGGGGCAATGAGCTGGTGACCAAAATGCGGCTGAGGCTGTCCTGCTGAGTGGCCACCAACACCCACCAACCCTCTCAGCACTGCAGCAGTGGGCAGCAGGCTCGAGGTGCAAGAGGCCCTGGCACTGGGTGTGCCAGCACGGGATGGGCACTGTGACATGGCACTGGTGTGCCAGTGATGGGATGGCCACCATGTCTGCCACCAGCCCTGGTCCTCTCCACTGCACAAAGGAAGGAAAATCCAGTGACAGAGGGCTCCAGGACTGGAAATTGCTACTGCACTTTTTGAGATGAAATCATGGCAAAAGAATGCAGCTCTCATTTCTCCTCAAGGCGCTGTCATCACTCCACCACTGTGTGCCTGCTCCGCTCATGCCAGTGGGGAATGCAACCAGCAGGATCTCAGAGTTATCAGGGAAAAAAGCCTGAAAGAACCAACACTTGGGCCAGCCTCTGCCTGAGAAGTTATCAGTAGTTTGGAGCAGGATTTTGGTGTCTTTGGATCCTTGGTGCCACAGAAAACACTCTGCGCCCAGCAAACCCACAGAGAGAGCGGGTCACTAATTCCAGTGTGTGCATTGGGGTGTGCAAAGCACCCATCAGGTGCTCACAGAGGAGATGAACATGGTCCTATGGTGACCAAGCTGCTCTGCAAGTCCTTTCAGAACATTTCCTCAAGAAGAACCCATGGACAGCTCAGGACTCACTGGAGCTGCTGCCCAGCACCGACAGACCCTGGGGTATGATGGGTATGAAGGGTTCACCTCCCTCCCATGAAATACAGGTGTTTATTTTCAAGCTGCTGCTTGAGTTTCACCTTCCTGAGCTTTTGTGACTGCCAGACCCAAGTCCTGCCTCGCTGGAGATGTCAGTGCACAGGAGGGAATGGGCTATCGTGAGGTCTCTGGCGTTTGGAAAACAGTTTTCTTGTAGGATCCAATTTCCTTTGTTTCTCACAAAAAGAGCAGAGATGGTGAGAGGCTGAGGGGAAGTTCTGGCAGCTGCCTGCAGGCAGCAAATGTCATCTGGACGTTTTTTTCTTCTTCTTACTCAGGAGGGCTTTGCGAGGGGCTCTTCCTGTTGGGTGCACAGTGGAAACAAAACAGAGAAAATTGCTAAGAACCAAAACCATCAGAAGCAGGAAACAAAGCAATGGCTCAAATCAGTCTTCCAAAGTGAGAATGGACCTTTCCCTAGCAGAAGCAGCTCGGGGAACTCCACAAGTCTGTGTCCCAAGGCATCTTGAGGCTGGTCTGACTGCGCCTCGGAGGCAGTGGCTGTGATCCCACAGGGAGGGAGCTCTGCTGGGCACGGGCTGGGCAAGGAGGGCACCGTGCCACAGCACCTGCAGGGGCACCTGCATCTTCCACTCCATGTGTCCCTCTGGCAATCCCACTCTTCCAGCAAACACAGTACTTGGAAACGAATTTAGGAGCTAAATCCTCCTCCCTGCTTCCCGTGCCGGCCGTACTGCTGCCTTTCCCGTGCAGATGTTTAGTTTGCTGCCCAAACATGTGAAAAAAAGCAGTAACTCTTGTTTCAAGACTCTGCTGGAGTTGCTGGAGGTAAAAAAAAACGTTTGTGCTCTTTTCTCCTAAGCTGCCTCTTTCATTGCTCTTCCTCCCCCAGCTGCCTCTGGCACTCCTCGGCCGGCTCAGGCCCCCAGGCATGTGCAGCTCTCAGAGCCCCTCTCAGCAGGTCTCCAGACAACTTCTGCTGCTTTGATCTCCTGGCCGAGAGGACATCAGCTCCACTTCAAACATGTTTACAACCTGTTTATTTTTGTGGAACTCGGGGCTATTTCTGCCACAGAACATCTCAGAGCTGTGGACGGGCAGAGCCCACTGATGCATCCCAGCCCTTTCATGAAATCACCTCAAGAATAAACAACAATGTTCCCCTTCTGACATGATCAGTACCTGACTGCAGAAAAATACATCAAGGACCACCCAGCCCTTTGCTCCCTGATCTGTTCCTATAGAACAAAGCTGCGGAACACAAGGTTCTTCTCAAAGGTAACAAGAAAAAAGAAAATTACAGCTTTATGTAATGCCAGAGCACTTCAGCTCTGCTGAAACAAGGACAAGACTGCAGCTCACCAGCAGCCATGGCTCTGTTGCCTAAATGAAATGGAAGGCAGCGTGGGTTTGGGAAGCTGATGGAGCTCAAGCAGTGCAGCAGGTCCCAGCAAAGCTTGGAGTGATGGATGGGCTCTAGGAAGCAGCTCCTGGGCACTCCTGGCAGAACCACCCCAGACCTGACCACCAGCTCACCGGGCTCCAGTCTGGCAGGGCTCTTGCTGTGCTTGGTACTTTAATGCAAGAAATAAGATGTTAAACTCTGCAGTGTTACTTTTTCAGGAGTAATGCTGCTGCATGCTCGTTTGGGTGGGAAAAATTGAAAGAAATTTAAAGAAATAAGCAGCTAGAATGGCCTGTGGTCAGCATCCCTTGACCAAACTGGTCCAAAAAGCCTCAAATTCTTCAGTACAGACCTTCCCCACATCTCCATTTACCAGTTCCCCATCTCCATCAGCACAGATTTCAGAGTCTTCTTTGCAACAACACGGACGTGTCCCTCTGTAATCCTGATGACACTTAGCACATGGGTTTGTCTTGTCACTTTGCTGCTTGGCTGATTTCCCGCGTGTGGGAATATTTCCCTGCTTTAGTCATTTCAGAAACCATCCAAAAGCTTTTCCACTTGACTAGGAGAGAGCCCAGGATGAGCTCTGGCTGTGGGGAGGAGCTGCTGTCCCACACTCCCATCTCCAGGCGCAGACGATGGTGCTCGATGGTGCACAGGGAGGGGGTGACAGGTACAGAATGCTGGCACGGAGCTCAGAGCCTGCTGCTAGTGCTGGAGACAGTCAGGGAGCAAGCAGAGAGTCAGCAGTGGGAGAGTTCTCAGCATGAGCAAGCGCTGCAGGCACTGCAGGAAGGAGGCTGCAGCACCAGCCTGGTGCCAGCACAGGTGTCCTTGGCCAGGTGAGCTCCAGGTGATGGGACATGGTGACATCTTAACAGGGAACAGCATTTCAGTGACAGCTGCACAACTTGTTTGAACCAGAGAATTACCAGTACCACCAGCAAGCCACAGACCCAGCAGTGGCTGCTGTCACACAGTCCAGCACTGGGACAGGCAGGGGAGACGGGCAGGGCAGGGAATGGAGGCAGCCACAGCTCCTCATGAACCTGCCTGGACAGGACCTGGAGTCACAGAATGGCCTGGGGCTGGAAGGGACCTTAAAGCCCATCCAGTGCCACCCCAACCTTCCCCTGTCCCAGGCTGCTCCAAGCCCTATCCAGCCTGGCCTTGGGCACTGCCAGGGACCCAGGGGCAGCCACAGCTGCTCTGGGCACCCTGTGCCACCTGCCCACCCTCCCAGGGAAGGATTGCTTCCCAATATCTCACTCCACCTTTTGCTCAGCAGCTGCATTTTCTGCTCCATCACTACCCCCCTCCCTCTTCCTCTC